TTAAAACATACATGCTGTGAGTTTCTAATTCTTGCTGTTAATGTTTACTCTGAATCATTGTTCAATTATACCAGTGACTTAGAAAGTATCATTCGTGAAAGCGATGAGTCATCCCAAGTTGATATCAGAAATATGTAAGTTTTCTGCCAAGAAGGATTCATGTAGTCCTTGACTTCCAACAATTCATTTAGTGACCATTCAGAGTTGCAATGGCACTGAAGTTTTTCACATTTACTACCATTGCAGCATTCACCATGGTTATATGATCAAAGTTGAGACGCTTGGCAACTGACTAATATAGTAGTGGCCAAAATTGTGGAAACCTTTTGGGAAAAGTGTACAGTAGAAATGCCACCTTTGGTTAAGTTTCCACCCATTTTTCTTCTAATTTCTTTATAACTGTAGCCTTGTTCACTTAATAATACTATTTTGCATCGCTTTCTGGGCAACCAGTCAACTCTTTAACCATTACTTTAATTTTATTACGTTTGACAAGCTCACTAAATGAAAGGGGGAAAAAACCCAACCAGCTTGATAGCGATCACATAACACACTGACAAATGTCCTCTCAGCTTCAATACATGACATCAATAACTGAATCCTACTGTGATCTGATTGGCTCATTGTCAAAACAAGATGACACCTGATTGGCTCTCTAAACACTCATGCTCATTGGCTACAATCAGATGAAGGAAAGCTACCTGATATCAACCTAAGCAAGTTGTGCTTCCTTTTTCTGGTTATTTGGCTATAACATTTCATAGAATACAGTACAGGTAATTGAACAAACTCTGTTGCATTACATTCTTCATTAAATTATCTTTCCATTGATATATAATTTTATGGTACTACTCCATGGTGTTATTAGCCATCAAACCTCAAAAATACCCTTTCCCAAAAGGTTTCCACAATTTTGGCCACTACTGTATTTATGACGGTTGTGATCACATTTTGTAACCTTCTGACAAGCAGTCAAATGGGGAAGCCAGATTTACTTAGCAATTTTGTTACTAACGTATCAACTGCAGTGATTCACTTAACAACTGTGGCAAGAAAGGTCATAAAATGGGGCAAAATTACTTAACAAATGTCTCACTTAGCAACAGAAATTTTGGGCTCAATCGTGGTCATAAGTCAAGGACTACCTGTGGTTGCAGAAATAAAATCTAAGCCTATGTTTTGCAGATTGAAATAGGACATTTGATGATACTATGGAGTGGACTAGATTATACTGTTAAAATGGCTTTGTTTATGTGTTGTTTTTTATTAGGATGTTATCCAGTAATAAGTAGAGTTGTGCAGTGATCTGGAAGGAGCAAGAGTGTGCACATAGCTGCCATTAACTCAAATATGGCTTTAAGGGGTTGGCTGATGCTACACGGATGCCTATTTACACTCCAAATAATTTTTTCCTTTCAAATGACTTGATACTGAATGTGTTTTATGTTTATTTGGTTTAATTCATAGCTCCTGAAAAAGGCGCTAAAGCAATATATATTTATCTTTTTGGATTAATCAATAAAATATAATATATATAATATAATATATATTATATATAATATTATATATAATATAATATAATATAATATAATATAATATAATATAATATAATATAATATAATATAATATAATATAATATATAATACAATACAATACAATACAATACAATACAATACAATACAATATAATATATCTACGTCCTCCATTTCTTGTGCCCCTTTCCCATCTTTTCCCTATGTCATTTATGATTCTGGATAGCAGTAGCCATAGAATCAGTGGTCCTCCAATTTGTTTTGGTTTATTGATAAAGCTACCTACAGATGTGCCAATCAAAAGGTTATTTTTCATAAGAATTATTTGCAATGAAAATGTTGGTGTTTAGTAATATCTCAATCAATACTTCTTTTATGTAGAGTCATATATAAGAATGACAAAATACAAAATAATAGTAACTTCCCGGTGAATCGGGCACTATTTTCAACTTTCTTGTATTAGGATTTAGGATTTGCCAAGTATACAGTGGTTAAGAATGTGAAAATTACCAGCATTTTTTTCTGTTTTATATAAAGGATTTGTCATGACTAGCATTAGCATTAGCTACATCAAGTAGTACAGAATTTTTAAGAGCCTCCAATTATATCTTAACAAACCCCATTATTATAAAAGGACATTGTATACCTTAGTTTGTTACCCTTTGTAGAAGGAAAGAATTTAGGAATTAAAGCCCACATATATTGCATAGTTCATACTTTTGTAAATGCAGTAATTATCTTATGGAATGCTTACTTAAGAAGGGAGCTCTTTATAAGTTACAAAAAAAGTTGGAATATCAATGGGTATAGTATACCCCAATCCTGGAATTTATCATATACTATTTCCTTTCTGAGAGATAATGTTACACAGTTTGCAGAAAAGGAGTAAAAAATAGTAAACGGAAGAAATTAGATGGGGGGGAGAATGAATCATAAAACTTAATCCAGTTCATACCAACATCATTTATTAAACCCCCTCCCTATTTTTTTATTCTTGCAAAAATATTCTTGATTTCATGCTCCTTACCATTTTTTCTTCTTATATTTGAAGTCTGTGCACAGTGATCTTACAAGATGATTTAATAGGGATTGACCTTAACTGCCCATCCTAGCTTTGTCAGTCAAGGCTATTTTTGGACACTTTTTGCTAAGTTAATAACCAGTGATAGTTTAATTAAGGCAACTTACTTTAAAAAAAGGATTAGGGGTGACATGATAGCAGTATTCTAGTATTTGGGGGCTGCCACAAAGAAGAGGCAGTCAACTTGTTTTCCAAAGCATGAGAGAAGGCAAAGCAAGAAACGATGGGTGGAAACTAATCAAGAAGAGAAGCAACCTGGAATTAAGGAGAAACTTCCTCACAGTGAAAACAATTAATCAGTGGAACAGCTTGCTTCCAAAAGTTGTAGGTATTTCATCACTGGAGGTTTTTAAGAAAAGATCAGACAGTCACCTATCTGAAATGGTATAGGGTCTTCTGCTCGAGCAGGGGGTTGGACTAGAATACCTCCAAGGTCCCTTTCAACTCTATACTGATTAACTTGAAATATTCTCTACTCATAGAATGGGGTGGGGAATGATAGCCTTTTTATGACTTGTGGACTTCAACTCCCAGAATTCCTGAGCCAAGCATGCTGGCTCAGGAATTCTGGGAGCTGAAGTCCACAAGTCATAAAAAGGTCATCATTCTCAACTTCTATCATAGAAGGAAACTAATACGTTTGGGCCACTATGCCACCTTTGCTTTTGCTACTCTATATAGACTTGGATTGCTAATCTGTAAACTGTCTTGTAAATCAGCATACTGTCACCTATATGCCACCATCTAGGAGTAATGGTATACCAAGTAGATGTTATTCATTTTGGACATTTATAGTCAAATCCCAAAGGACTTAATAAATATTTATATCACTTTTATTAGGAGAAAAATTGGGAACAGTTATTTAGAAAGTAAGATTATAATCAAAAAGCATGGTTTGTTTGTCTAAACTGAAATATCTTTTAATATCTCAGGGTATTAAAACTGTGAAGTTGTGTGAATGAATTTTGTTAGCTGTCAATTTAACAATAGTGGTAGGAATTATGTTTTGTTTCACAGTTAGCCTGATGTTTGGGCTGGATTTGGCATTTTAGACACCTGTCAAGTCCTTCCAAGGACCTCGGATAGGCAGATATTGATGTGTAATGTATTAGAGGTATCACTGCAGGATTTAAGCTGTTCTGAGTAAAGCTGCCTTTTGCAATTGACTGATGGTGAATTTGTCAATACCGATGGCATTCAAGCGGTGCTCCAGTTTTTTTGGGATTGCACCCAAGGCGCCTGTTATTAGTAAGTACTAGTTTTGCTTTCTTTTGCCTCAGTCATTCTATTTCTGTTTGCAGATCTTTGTATTTTGTTATCTTCTCCAATTCTTTCTCTTCTATTCTGCTGACTCTGGGTACTGCCAGGTCCAAACTTTTTTGTCCCTCTTATCAAGAGTTGTAAAGTCTGGGATGTTATGATGCAGGTGCTTGTCTGTCTGAATTCTAAACTCCCAGAGCACTTTGGTTCTTTATTTTCTATTATTTTCTCTATTTTATGGTCCCTCCAGTTCTTGCTTGTAGACAAATGGTATTTCTTGCAGATCTTCCAATGCACCATTGTTGCTACTTTGTCAGGCTGTAGTCAATCTGTGTGTTCTTCTTGTAGCAGCTATCCAGGTGATCCATTGTTTCTTCAGCTTCTTTGCAGAGGTGGCATTTGCTGTCTGTTGCTGTTATTATTATTACGGTTCATCATGCAATCAGCCAGACATGGCATATTAAATACACTTACTGAGTCCTTCCCAACAGCAATAGATAGATATTGTACTCGATTACCCCAAAAGTCAGGGATGATGATAGTTGTCTGCTCATACTTTCAAATAATCTCTTCTTACCCACTATTAATTTCATTATGATAAATATTTGTTAGCAGTATAATTATTGAAGTTATAACCTACTTAGGTACCTTTTCAATACAGTAACCCTATGGTTACAGTTGTAGGCTCGAGTAGTTGCAGACTAAATTTAAAATAATTATCCAGTGTAGAAACTTTCTGATATAAATTAACAGGCGTTTTATACCCAGATGCTCTAATTTGTATAACCTCCCAGTTCATTGTTATAACCAAAATTCACTTTTAAAGTATCCCGTTATGAAAATATTTTAAAGCCAGGATCCCCCACAGAAAGAGGTGGATTACATAGTCTTGATGCAGAAGGCCCTGGCAATAAGGACTCGTGTAATTGGAATGCGTAAAACGAAGCAGACACGACAGCACATTGTAAATATTTAACAGAAGTTGATCCTGGAGACCTCTCTAAGGCGAGGTTTCAACCCAACTACGTTGAAATAGGAAATAATTTGGAGGAAATTATCACAGTGTATTGTGTGATCATTAACGTGTCTTTTTATTTTTTTCCTGTTGTTTTTGTTTTTTGTCCCAGAAAGAAGACACAGCTCCTCCAGCAAGCCACCTCTGACACCTCCTTCCTCTTCAGTATTCTCCTTGTATTCATCTCTGTCTTCAAAAAGTAAAGGTAGCAGCGGAGGAGGGAGCAATCGCTCATCCAGTGGTGGAGGGGCAGGTGCATCGTCCTCATCTAGTTCAAAATTATTGAAATCACCCAAAGACAAGCTGCCAATTGGTGGAAACAATAGGCCAATGCACCTAATACATAGCAAAGGTCTCCATGACAAAATGTGAGTTATTTATTGATTTCTACCTGCCTTTGTTCTGAAAATCGAAAAGCTTAGCACTGAGACAAGTACTCTGTTTCTAACTGTGTTGTGTCAATTTTTAAACACAATATTTTATTTTGATCTTGGGTTATTTTTCAACTATAAACTAGGATTTGGGAGAGATGCCCTTCTATATGACACTTCCTCTCTCTCTCTCTCTCTCTCTCTCTCTCTCTCTTTTTCCCCTGATCAGTAACATTGTAGGGCTGTACACATGCATTAAGAATTAATAGGAACTATTAAACCAAGGCAGACACTGGATTTGCAAGTCATTACTAAATAAAGTAGTGGCTAACCCTAAAATTGGTGCAGACAGAACACAACAGTACAGTTAATGCTGAGACAGAACGGAAAGGAAAAATCACATAGGAGGAGGAAGAAAAAGAGGGATTTGTTCCTCAAATAATAAGTCTGCACCATTGGTCTGTCACCTAGAACATAGTGGCCAAAAAATAAGAAAACTAAGATCAGGTAACAAGTTGTAGATCTGGAAAAAGGTGGAATTGTTTATAAGGTTGAAAATGACATAATTAACCAGAGCTGTGCAGAGATCACACCAGCTTGCTTTTTGACCCAGATCCAGTGCTCCAGAAATAATCTTGTCAATTCGGAGATAGTCTGTCATGATACATTCCCACTTCTAGAAAATGGAATATGAAATGCCAGTGTTCCTGAAAGATTTTTCCATTGTAATGAAAAAGGAAAGCCTCTTCATACACATAACGTGTGTTTCTATCTTCTGTTCGGAGCCTAGCCAATACCATGTGGCAAGGTTTCACTTTACACACAACCCACCCTTTCTCAGACAGTCAATTACCCAGAATTTCTCTAGAGGAAGAAGAAGGATATGGAAGGATATGACCTCGAATAATGTCAGAGTGCTCTGACTTGCCCTGGGTTGCATAGAAAGATAAGCATTAAGAAATTGTGTTATTTATGTGCTCATTTTGAACAGAAAATAGAATCTTTTGAAGCGTCTGTTCCCTGTTTTATTTCTTAAAATCCCTCCATATCCCAGACCCATGTTGTTTCTGCAGTGAAGTCTTGTGTTTAAATCAGAAGGACAGTTAAACTGGGGTGTACTGAGTATTAAATTATGTGTAAGCAAGGATTTACTGTACAACAATTACATATGGCCTTGCTTTATATTTCCTCTTTACTAGCATGACTCCATCTGTCAAAATGGAAAAAATACATCCAAAGTTAGATGGTGCATTACTGAAGCCTGCTGTTGGTCCAACCTGTTCTACTACTGTGAGCTCCTCAATAAAGACTGGCCTTAATCCCTCAATACCAAAGCCACCCTTGCCTTCCCCTGGACAGATAGTGAATGGTAAAAGTCTTCTCTCTGTGCCTCCATATACAGAAAAGAAACAAGACGAGAGTACAAATAATAGGAAATTTTTACACAAAAGACTGTCAGGTAATTCTTATAATGTATGTCAATGTAGAATATTAAACTAAAAAAAAGGCATATGCGTTTTTATAATAAATGTAAAATGTACATGTTTGAAGGTATCCTGAACTCTAGAAATGGTGTAGAAAAGTTAATCATTGCCATCTTTGATTAACCAGAATCCAGAGTGTCACGTGAAGTGATCTGCATGTGTGCTATTCATCTCACCTTTTCTGATAGCTGCTCCTTCCCCTATTGTGAATCCTTCTGATAGCTTTTTTGACACACTTTTGAAAAGAAAAATCAGCCATACATATTCTGTGGTCACACTTAAAGGATCCTAGCCAATAGTATAGCAGGGGTGTCAAGCTGCCAGCCCACGGGCCGGATGCGCCACACCTAAATCACACCCACCCCATTGGCAGCAATGGGAGAAACGTGACGTCACGAGTTTGAAACCTGTGGTATAAAGCATGTAATCATAATAACGATGCAAATATAAAGCATTAATATTGGTAGTTAAGATAAAAAGAAGCACACATGGATTTGAATTTTATAATATAAGCTTTGAGTTGATTTTATGTCTCAAGGGGCTGTTATGTTGAAAATTTCAACAAATTTGTAATCTGTCCATGAATTCTGCAATGCTGTTTAGTCTTCTATATAATAGGGGAACAGTATATATAATAGCAAATAGTACAATTGTGCAGAAAGGCACAGCCTATTTTCAGATATTGTCCTACCGAATGAATCTTCAGTATTTTTGGAATTAGAATGATTTACTCTCATCTTATCAATAACATTTGGTAGATGCACCTGTACAAAGATATATTAACTCATACGTACTCTGTGTAGTACTACAATCATTAAAGACATTCTTACCTGCTTAGCTGAACATAGAATATTTTTGTGGCAACAGTAGCACTGTTGCAATATGATGCAACTTTTACAAATGCTAACTCTCAGTTAATTGCTATTTTTTACTCTTTTTTTCTAAGAAGAGTATCTACTAATTGGGAGTCTTCATGTGAATTTTACCTTCTTAAATTCTGTTACAGATTTAATCAGGTTTTCTAAAAAACCAAAAAATCCAATCTTATTGATAGCTACATGGTAACATATATGAAAGCTGAAAACAATTTGGGGTTTAATTATACATTAGCACAAACCAATATGGTCCAAATTTGACATTTTTACCTTGCCTTTAATAGAGAGAGAATTTGATCCTGATATCTACTGCGGAGTCATTGACACAGAAACCAAGAAACCCTGTACCAGGTCGTTAACATGCAAGGTAAGATGCCCGGATTATACATCCAAAGTAATTTAGTGTATTTGAACAACCTGCAAAAACAACCTGAGAAACTTCAGCATAGGCTGATTGAGTACTTTTAAAAAATTTAACAGCCTTGTGAAAATATATTTGAATTATGCAGATGCATCTATAAGATTGCTTAACATATTGTAAAAAGTTATGGCCAGTGACACAAGATTCAGTTCCTGGCAATCTGTTTTTTTAAAGCTGAAGCCAAACATTAAGCAACAGCAACCAAAAGAACTTACATGTGGCATGTATACATTGAATTCTCATTAAAAGAAATAAATTCGTAAAATAACATGAAACATAGAAAAAATGGTGTTTTCAGTAATGCCAGTGAAAAATACAGGTGAGAATTGGTCTGGGGGTTCATTCATACTTCTCCCATCCATTGCTAGATAAATATTTCATTCTTTATGTTGAATTTTTTACTTTTCTTAGTTTGAATTTGTAAGTAAAACTAGGTATTCCACATGTACTACCTCATAATTATTATGTGTGCTAAAAGTAATTCTTAAATCATAACACCCATTAATTATATGGGCAACTGTTCAATCGTCAACAGTGGAAACAATTTAAATAGTTTAGAACAGTGTTTCTCAACCTTGGCAAATTTAAGACAGATGGATTTCAATTCCCAGAATTCCCTAGCCAGTCACAAATAATATCCGTTTCTTACACAGTATTAATTATGTTTAACACATACCATTAGAGAGCCAATTTGATGTAGTGGGTTAAATCAGCAGGTTAGAAACCTGGAGACTGAGAGTTCTAGTCCTGCCTTAGGCTCAAAGCCAGCTAGGTGACCTTCAGCCTGTCCCTCTCTTAGACCTGGGAAGGAAGCAATGCCAAACTATTTCTGATGAGAAAACTGCAGGGACTTGTCCATGCAGTTGCCAGGCATTAACACTGACTCAAAGGCACAACAAAGAAAAAAATGCATGCCATTACAATATTTCTGCTTGATCAGGCTCTAAATTTAGAGATTGTGTAGTCACTGCAGATATATGGGGACATGAGCAAATGTGAGCTCTTTGAACACTTTTATACTGTATATAACTGCCACATGTAATGAATTTGATTTATCATGAGGTAAGAAACACAGTATGATTATAGTTTATTAATTTAATGCTATTTTTAAATGCCATAATATGTTCATAAGAAAGTCAGGCAAGACAGACTTAGATCTATTACAGCAGGTCAGAGGACTGCTACATAAAATAGATATTTCCCTCTCTTTTTATTCCATAACCTTTTTTTTCCTTTAGCACTCACCTCAAACTCAAGGTTAATCTAGAAGACTTTGTAAAAATTACATGATGTATACATGCTTGGTCCTGAGTGGTACTATAAAATAATTAAGGTTTTTTGCTTAGTCAGAGCTAATGTGAAGTAGTGATTAAGGCATTGAACTACAACAGGAGGATCCAAATTCAAGTCCACTCAGTTTTAAAAATACACTGACTTTGGGCCAATCATTATCTTGCAATATTGCTACAGTGGGGACAAATGCAAGACATTCCTTAGGATTCCCCGATATCCCGTGGGCTTTATTTTCCTAAAGGCACATAAAATCCATCCATTTGAGAGAGCCAGTTTGGCCTAGTGCAGGGGTCTGCAACCTTGACAACTTTAAGACTTGTGGACTTCAGCTCCCAGAATTCCTCAGCCAGCTATGCATAGCTGACTGAGGAATTCTGGGAGCTGAAGTCCACAAGTCTTAAAGTTGTCAAGGTTGCAGACCCCTGGCCTAGTGGTTAAGGCACCAGGTTAGAAACCAGGAGACCATGAATTCTAGTCCTACCTTAGCTATAAAAGCTGGCTGAGGGACTTTGAGGCAGTCACTCTCTCTCAGCCCAGTTCACCTCACAGGGTTGTTGTTGCAGGATAAGGAGGAGGAAGGTGTGTTGGATATGTGGGATACAAATAAATAAGTAAATTGTGGGCCTTTGGTGCTTTATTAGTGGATTGCTGAAGAATCTAATCCTTTTTGCACATTCAAATCTCTTGTGTGTGCATACTTTCTAGGATCCTTTTACAGCCTGAACTAATTTAATATTTTGTACTTTGTAGACACATTCCCTAACTCAGCGAAGAGCTGTACAGGGTCGGAGGAAACGATTTGATTTATTACTAGCTGAGCACAAAAGCAAAACCAGGGAAAAAGAACTACTCCGCCATTTGGATCATCATCAGCAGATGCCCCTTCTCAGGGAACCACATCCCTCACCTTCAAGAACTTCCCAGGAGCTGCACCAAAATTCTCATGGAGTTATTCCTACAGAATCAAAGCCTTTAGTACCTAATAAACCCAAACCTCACACCCCCAGTCTTCCAAGGTAAGTGGCCTGAACATGTCTGTGATGAGTGTTTTGTGATCTCCCAAAAAAAATATCATCACAGTGGTGTGTTGATGACACCTCGTGAAGATGGGTGTCTTTTCCTGAACAAATTCAGAAATTAGTGATGTGCTGAATTATTTTCATCCAAATTGTTTACCACTTTTACCATCACTTCTCTTTACTACATGCTTTTATGTGGCGCTTGCCCAAACATTTGGCATTAGCTCCACTTCTGAAATTAGCACAATAATAAATTAACAAAGATAAATGATAATATGTTTTCAGTGGTACAGGCCAATCAACTGTAAGCAAGGGCTGCATACCCCATCCAGAGCTTCTGAAAGAAAGATGAAAAAATATAGTGAGGGATGTAAAAACAAAAACATTTCTCTGATCTTCCTGGTTCTTTCTTTTTGCTGTGCCTGTAATAATTGATCCTTTTAATTTGTCTATGATACGGAGAAGTAATTTCACAGTTGGCTTGAATATGCTTGTGAGAAGGGAGGATGGAAATAGACTCCCATTACTTTTACTCCATAAAGAATTGGCTCTGTGTAAAAATAAATTACTGGAAAAACCGTTGAGCCACAATAACTACCCCTGACCTTTATTGTTCAGAGGAAGTTGTTATTCTGCCATGATTTTTCATCACTGCTATTTTATTCTTACTATGCTATTAGTAGTCAGTCTCAAAGTGACTGTAATGGCCAACACTGTCACATTAAGTTCATGACCAAGACCATAGTCTAGGAATCCTAGAATTTTACAGTTGGAAAGGACCACAAGGATCATCTAGTTCAACCCTTTGGATAATTAATTAAAGCATCCCTGAATGATAGCTCTTATCCTCCCTAAAACCCCCAGAGATTAATGGAAAAACCCATAGGTAGACTGCTTTATTGTTGCTCAGATCTTACCATTAGCCTTACCAGATCTACATTGTCTTAAAGACAGTTTTAAAAAAAAACTCCTCTGACAACTGCCTGGACAATTCCCTGCAGCTTGGCATGATTTTAGAAGTAGCTTGTCTTTGTCTGCTTTGCAGAGTTGAGAAAGAATGATTGGTCCAAGGTCACTCAGCTGATTACCTCCGAGACCGCCTTCTGCCACAGATTGCCTCCCACCGGCCGATACGCTCCCACAGAGAGGGCCTCCTCAGGGTGCCGTCAGCCAGACAGTGTCGGCTGGCGACCCCCAGGGGGAGAGCCTTCTCTGTCGGAGCACCCACCCTCTGGAACGAGCTGCCCCCAGAGATCCGGGTGATCCCGGATCTCCCCTCNCAGCAGGCAGGACTGGCCTAGGGGTATTTTAAAGGGGTTTTAAATTAAATTTTTAGTAGAAGCGGCCAAATTTGAATAGTTATTTTTAATCTTTTTTAAATTTTGTATTGTACTGTACCATTGTTTTAAACTGGCTGTAAGCCGCCCTGAGTCCTCCGGGAGAAGGGCGGGGTATAAATTTAATAAAATCAAATCAAAAATCAAAATCAAATTTATTCCTAAGGCAGGACTAGAACTTACTTTCCCAGTTCCTAGCCTGGTTCCATTACACCAAACTGATTCTCAGTAGGCAATTTTCCAAAGCACTAGAAGGCAAGACAAGAAACAATAGGTGGAAACTAATCTAGGAGAGAAGAACCTAGAGCTAAGGAGAAATGTCCTAATAGTGAGAACAATTAACCAGTAGAAGAGCTTGCCTTCAGAAGTTGTGGGTGCTCCATCACTGGAGGCTTTTAAGACAAGTCTGGACAGACGCTTGTCTGGAATGCTATAAGGCAGGGCTTTTCAACCAGTGGTACGGGTACCACCTGTGGTACATTAGCACCTGGCAGGTGGTACGCGACCATCCTAGAAAAGTGGGGGAGGGGAATGAGCTGAACCGGTGGCAGCACCGCACAAGCCTGAGCGAGAGATGGCTGGAACTGCAGGGCTGCCAGGGCTCAGCGGAAGCGCCAGGATCAGTGCCAGGCTCCAGCTGGAGCTTGGCGCTGATCCTGGTGCTTCTGCTGAGTCCTGAAGAAGCACCAATCAGCTGGAAAGCAGCACTGATTCTGGTGCTTCTGCTGAGCCCAGAAGAAATGCCGATCAGCTGGAATGTTGCAGCATCTCCAGGGTCTTGTGATTTACATTCAGATGCTTGGCAACTGATTCATATTTATGACAGTCACAGTGTCCCAGGATCATGTGAAGTGACCAAAACCTGCTGCAACCACCCAGCAGACGGGGGGGAATAAAAACCAAACACCCCCCCCACCCCACCCCTGCTGCCAATCCTCAGCAGAAATGCTCACAACAATGAAAACCTCGGACAGGAGGAAGAGCACGGCTGGGCGGGCAGGCAGGTGTCTTGCTCGGCTGTGGCTTGGGGGGCACTTTTTTCAGTGCCATTGTAACTTCGAACAGTCACTAAGCGAACTGTTGTAAGTCGAGGACTATCTGTACTTTATTACTTTTTTTCCTTTTTTTTTTATCATCAAGTTTTTGACACCTTGCTGGTGGTACTCGGATGTTGCCATATCCTAAAAGTGGTACAATGGGTGAAAAGGTTGAAAAGCCCTGCTATAAGGTCTCCTGCTTGAGCAGGAGGTTGGACTAGAAGACCCTCCAGGGTCTTTTCCAACTCTGTTATTCTATTAATGCCTTTATCTCTTTTTTCCCCTGACACTTACATTGGATTAGTGAATCATTTCAGTGGGCCCTTATACTTCATTTTCTATTACTGAAAATTCAGTGTGACAATTATTCTATGTAAAGGTTTACAAAGGAGATAAAATATTTGATATGATGGAATCTGTGGCACCTAATACTGATGTTAATGCAAGCTTGCAAATCATTTTCTAATATTACCTTTATTCAATGATTCCTCTTGCATGAAGGCCTCCAGGCTGTCCTGGCCAGCACAGTGGGAATGCCCCTAGTGAGTCTCCATCACTCCATGAATCTCCACATGCTCCCTTGCCTGCAGCTGAGCCAACATCTCGGTTATCCAGTGATGAGGGAGAATGTGATGAAAAAGAAGAGCCTGTTGAAAAACTGGATTGTCTTTACTCGGATCATCATCCTCAAGCAGCTGCTGTATGTTTCAGTCAATTCTTTCCTGTGTTGTGTTTAAAAGCTGTATATTAGCAGCTGCTTTAGTTGCCTTGTTAGAGAAGATGGAAATGCATGTAAGGATTTGCTGCAGATGACAGATACTGGAGTTGGTCATGATTGGTGTAATACAGATTAGATTATTCTGGGGTTTAATAAATTGTTATGATAGCTGAATAGAAGAAGCTCTTCATTGGAGATCTAGTATTCTAGAGCAGTGTTTCTCAATCTTGGCCATTTAAAGATGTGTGTGGACTTCAAGTCTCAGAATTCCTCAGCCAGCAATGCTATCTGGGGAATTCTGGGAGTTGAAGTCCACACATCCTCAAGTGGCCAAAGTTGGGAAAGAAGACTTAAATAAGAAATCCTATGAGGTGTGAGTTGAAATGGCCTATATCTAAGATCCCTTAGGTCAGGGGTTCTCAACCTTGGCAATTTTAAGACTTGTGGACTTCAATTCCCAGAATTCCTCAGCCAGCTGGCTGAGGAATTCTGGGAGTTGAAGTCCACAAGTCTTAAAGTTGCCAAGGTTGAGAACCCCTGCCTTAGGTGGATGTTTCTTGTAACTTAATTGCAGAAATTAAGGCTTTTATGTGCCATTTTGACGTGACTTTATTTGCTAAAACATTGTCTGTTGGTTAAATACATCTTGCAGTTAGTAAAATTAAAATGATATTCTTGTTCTCCTTGCCTTCCCAGTTTTGCACATTTGGTAGTCGACAAATCGGAAGAGGTTACTACGTGTTTGATAAGCGGTGGAACCATATCCGATGTGCACTTAATGTCATGGTGGACAAGCATCTTAATTCACAGATGTGGAAGTGAGTTGACATTGAAGTGTCTCTAATGTATTTCACTGTTAATGGGTTTTTTTTATTTGCATGTAAAGACCAAAGAAGTGAAAAAGTTCTCTCAACCTTATTAGCAATTTCTAAATAAGTAGCAATTATTTTTCTGGAACTGGGATGAATATTACGATAATTTTAAGAACATCAAGTGTTAAATGTGTAGAATATTGGATGGGAAACAGCAAGAATTTTTTTTAAAAATATTGCTACAGACTTTGATCATTTCTTGGAAATGAAACCGGTTTTGGAGGGGAGAGAGAAAAGACTATGGAGACAAAACAATCGAGTCCTCTTTGATTAAAATTCTGTTTAGATATTTTTTTATTGCAACATAAAAGTTATCTTACTCATCTTTACAGATACTGGGCAGCAAGAAGCATACTGTAGTATTTGTCAGATGATGGATCTAACACAGAGGTCCCCAACCTTTTGGGCACCAGGGACCGGTTCCGTGGAGAAAAAATTTTCTGCGGACCGGAAGGGGTGTGGTTTCATATACTGCTTGCATCCCGCGGATGGGGCTTCACTTGTTTGCGCGGCCTGGTTTCTGGCATGCCATGGCCCGATGCCGGTCCACGGACCAGGGGTTGGGGACCCCTGATCTAACATGTAGCCCCCTAACATAGAAATTCTACAGCCCAAGGGCCTAGAATTATTTCTTTCCCTCCTCTTTTTATTTACACATGTATACCCTTTTCCTATAGCAGCTCTTTTCCAGTGTCCACCATGCTTAAAAGAAGAAAAAAAATTGAACCTTTCTTTATTCAAAATTCAGCACTTGTTTTTTTAAAGCAAGGATCTGTCCTGAGAAGGACAAACCTCAATGAATTTAGGTTTAAAGCGTTTTTCCAGAGTTCTATTTTACACCCACATGTGCCTGCAGAAGGAACTTGGGTTATGCAAGTGTCTTCACTGTATCTTCTGAGTCACGTTCAGCTGACCTTTGAAAACAGGAAAAAATAATACAGTCTTTGAAGCATATCCTTTGATTTTTCTGCTTTCCAGGAAGATTCCTCCCGCGACAAGCAACTCAGCATCCATCCGCGCTCCCCACCGGACAAGTGCCATGGCTGCGTCGCAGTACGGTGTCAGCACGACAAGTTCCACGTTACCCACAACCGCTGTGTCCCCTCCAGTGCTTGTGTCTCCCTCTTGTTTATCTCTTAGTGGCAAATCAGTACCATCCCATGGGACTACGCTCAATGCCAACCCTGCTAGTTTTGGTGCAGCAGAACCTGCCTGCAGTATGCAATCAAGACAAGGGTCTACATCCCTTTCAACACCTCCAGTGCTTTCCTCAATACCTTCACCTCTGTCCAGCAAACCTCAGAAATTTAAATCCAGCAAGTCTTTTAAGCCTAAGGAAATTTCTGCTAGTAGCGCCAACTGTAACAGTAACAGTAGCAGTAGCAACAGCGGTAGCGGCAGCTCAGGAAAGAAGCGCAAAAACAGTTCCGTGCTGCCGGCAGCTTCTTCTCATTCCACAGAGTCCTTTAGGAAAAACTGCGTCGTTAACTCTGGAAACTCGGGGGCTTCTTTCCACTCGCCTGTGATGTCTTCATCCCACAGTGTTGGCCTCAACTGTATGACTAGTAAAGCGAACTCGCTTAGCCTCAAACATGACCAATCAGGGAGGGGGCCTCCGACCGGGAGCCCTGCAGAATCGATAAAACGGATGAGCGTGATGGTGAACAGTGGCGATTCTACCCTCTCGCTGGGACCGTTCATTCACCAGTCTAGCGAACTGACGGTAAACTCGCACGGCGGGTTTTCACATTCACACCCTTCCCTAGATAAACTCATAGGAAAAAAAAGAAAGTGTGCGCCTGGTTCAAGTAGCCTAAGCAGCAGCAGCAGCAGCAGCAAAGCAAGCAAGATTGCCAAATTGCCACCAGTGAACAACATTCACACAAAACACACTGGTGCAATCCCAGGGACACAAGGATTGATGAACAATTCTATTCTTCATCAGGTATGAAATCTTAACTTGGGTCAGACTTAATTGCAGATCGTGGTGCCATTCTAAACGTTGCTTATATTTGAAAGCAGGAAGTGTAATGGCAGGGGGTTGGACTAGAACAGTGATGGCGAACCTTTTAGAGACCGAGTGCCCCAAAACTGGCCCCGCTCCACCCCTCCTGCCCCGCCCCCGCTCTGCCCTCCATCCCCCGCCCCGCCTGCCCATAGGACCACTCACCGCCTCCAGGACCCGCCGCAGATCGCCCAGGCAGCCCAGCAGTGCTATGGCGGCCACACCCTTTGCCCACGCCCTGCAGCATCAACTTCATGATGGGGTGTGAGGGCAGAGTCTTGTCTACGCTGCCTGGCTGCCATGTCCTTGGCTGCGCTGCTCCATGTGGGCCACGCTCGAGGGCGACTCTCCTTCAGGGGGGCTGCTGGAGAGGGGGTCGCGGGGGGAGGCAAGGCTGGGGCAATGGCACGTGTGCCCACAGAGAGGGCTCCGAGTGCCGCCTCTGGCACCCGTGCCATAGGTTCGCCACCACTGGACTAGAAGACCTCCAAGGTCCCTTCCAACTCTGTTACTCTGTTAAAGACTTGTTCTAAAATTAAATTTTAGATATCTTCGCCGTGTTCTTTAGCTTAAGTTGGATGTAATTTATTCCGTATTTTCAGATTTGTTGAATCTTCCAAGTGCAGCATAAGATGTCTTGAGAAGAGAAATGACATAATTTGCTGGGGCCCCTTTTTTATGTTTGGCTTTTCTTTCACCAACTATAGAAAGGGAAAGATTCATGTGCATTTCTGGATTTTTCCTTCTCATGGCCATCAGTGGATTCTATGTCTGAGAAACTCCTGAAAAATTAAAGAAAATCACTGTGATAACTATTATTATATTAATCCCATGAACATTATAACTCCATAGATCAGTAATTTCTGAACCGGAACCAACTCTGCAACCAGAATGACTATGGCCTGGTAATGGGGGGAGGGGGGGAAACTTTCGTTGATATGAAAAGTGACAGTAGCAAACCATAATAAATTAAGAGAAGGAGATTAGAGGAATATATTGAATTATGTTTTTTAAAAGTCTTCATGCTGTTGATCAGCAAACCTATTACTATTTTACAAAAAACCTTTCTGTTATTTTTGACCCTTTTGATAGATGGTTGTATTATCTTTGGGTTTACAAGAAAGGATCGAGTAAATGCTTTCTGGACTTAATAAGTAGTATCTGTACTTACCTTTTTACAAATAGTCCTATATAAAAGCATTTCATGATGATCAGTTGGAAATAAGCAAAACAAAGCTTGTTCTTCCACATTTTTGACTGTTACCTTCATTCCAAGATTCTGCCAAAGTATGATCCTTGTATCCCAAATTGTGTAACCAGGTATGGTCTGAGACATTATATTTATCTTTTGTTTTTCTTTCTCTCCATCTCCCATTTGTGTAAAAGCCAAAGGCACGTCCCTAGCAGTTGACAGTACCATGACAGAACTGGATTATTTTCACTACAAGCAGAAAAAAAAAACTCTCCATCTGGAAATTCTGGACTCCCTGATGCCTTTTGAGTTCTCCCAGCTTCCCACAGTTCTCAGGTGTGGAAATCTACTAGTCTGTCACACAATCAAGGAGATTCCCTGAAGCCATGTCTGTAGCAACAGAGATTGGAAATGGACACTGGGTTGCCGTTCAGCCACAGGATTATTCCTATCAGTGTTACCAGTGGTCTGGACTGCTTGCTACACATCCCTGTGAGGTTTTTATTTACAGGAATACATCATTTTTGCCACTAATTTAAACAAGATTGGTTGGGCAAAGCAGTGTTTGGGAAAGGATATTACTATGGACTTGTGTTTTCTTTTCTTTTACCGATAGTGTCATAAGCCTAATTAACCGCTCTTTTGGCACTGTCCTAGCGAAAACCCTTCCAGAAGGGGGCACAAATGTGTTAGGCACAATAAAACAGACAGAAAAGCCCTCCAGAAGGGGAATATGGCTTTAGTGTTTTATAGCAATGTTCCTTGATTGGAATACAAAAAAAATAAAATAAAAAATAGCACAATTTAGAAATGAAAGTCTACATTTTGCCCAGCCTTTTATAAGTAATTTGGGATAAGAAGCTGACAGGAGTTCTTTAAAACAACACACAAGTTTGGGGTCATCACTCAAAAACTACAAAGCATATTTAAATTGTGAAACCACATGGTACAGAACAATTTTTAATGGGAGTTGTCCACCAAGCATAGCTGCCTCATCTCCTTCCTTCCTTCCTTCCAGTGGAGGCTGTGTAGGGCTTTCTGTACGTGACCCACTGAAATGAATGAAGGTTGCTCAGTGGCGTTCTTTGGAGGAGGATGGCACCTGCTTGATTCTGAAATAAAATTGCTTTGATTCTGATACACAGAGCGATGCAAAACTCTTGAATCCAAAATGGTGAATGACCTCTAAAACTTATTCCCAAAGAATATATTCTTGACCTATACTGTATGCCATACGCCTTTGTTGTTTTGGGGAGATGTGGGTGGGGAAGGATGAAAAAAATGAAACCAAAAAGAAAAAAAAATCCTTAAAAAAAACCTAAATTGCAATCATCTGTAACACTAAATTTTCTGTGCTATTTTTCTTGAAAGATTTTTTTCCAGTGAGTTGATAACTTTGTTCACACAACCAATTCACCTTTTTCTGAAGTCCACTTTCAGATTTTTCTGATGGCTGCATTAAGTGCCAGTTCAGGTTCTGAGCTCAGTATTAAATTTACCCCTTGCATTACCAGTTTATAACGGGGCGTGGGGAGGGGTATTGTGTCATTCAGTCTCCACTGGTATCTTTTTCTTTTAAGCAAAAAAGGATTTCTTTTGGAAAGTTGGAAGGGCTTTTTAACGCTACTATGTGATTGTAAGAGTAGTGAACCTTGAAAAACAAGCTAGAATTTTATGCATTTTGTTTGAAAGGGAGAGGAAACGATCAATCCAAACCATAGGACATAATCCATGGGGAATTTTCCTTCTGCAGTTCTATTAAAAAAAATGCACTTCCTGTCCTTTTGTAATAGTGTGTGTTTTGGAATATAGATTCAGACAGTCATTTCCTCCCCGGTGAGAGTTTACTTTTGCAATCATTCAGCGAGCCCAGATTTTCAGCATTGTTGCATTTTCACAGCTTCTCGGAAATGCACCTGCAAATCTGTTGCACTTGTGGACTCACACCCAACCTTTCAGATTATTCAGTTCCATCTCATGCCTGTCACATAGTCAAAAAAGTCAACACTTGCTGAGGGAGGAAACAGATCGTCTGAATCTTCCCACAACAGGGCTTGTGAAGATGTTCTCAATGAAATACGCCTGTAGACTTCTGCCTTAAATGGGCACCAGATTTTGCTGAGATTAGACAATCTGAGCCTATCTAATTCACACAGCCCAGCCTCTCTCCCTACTACGGTGGTGCATTGCACATCAGGGATTCTAAAGCCACCACAAGCAGTAGATGCTTGGGGTCTCTCTTTTTTTTGTTGTTGTTGTCCTCGGTTGATTTTTACCTGTTGAGATTTTCAAATCAACATGAAATTTGTTAGTGAATTATTTAAAAAAAAAAACACAGTGAAGAAACAAGACTCTATGCAGACAACTCTAAAGCCTTGAATTCACAAAAGATCATGTTGGGGTTTTTTTGTTTTTTTTTAAAGTAACGGAATAATATTATGGACACTGATGATTATGCAAATATTAAAAGTGACTGCATTCTGGAGAAAGGGGAATTTTAAAGAACCCTTCCGTAGATAGAGAATATTGTAAAATGCTAAGACCTCTTAATTGGCTTATTTGGAAAGTGGGAAGGAACAACCAAAGTAATGTATCTGCCTGGCAGAGAAAGTAGACATAGGTTCCATCCCATGTGTTAGGTATTTTCAATCACAAGTGCAATTTGGTTTTTTACCTTTGAAGGCTGACCTTTTCCATGAGTTAAATCTTAGTGGCTTTAAGTACTCAAAAATATACTTCTTTTTTAAATATTCTGTTACTCTGAGCATATCGAAGCAAGTCCCAAACTCCTTAAAACATGCAGATCTCTGTGGAAAGTTCAACAGTGTTTAATTTAAATAGGTTGCACAGATATGGACCCAATTCCCACTGTGAATGCCTGCGCTGCAAGCTGCCTTGAAAGCACTGGGAACTTCACACAAACACAGCCATGTTGTTGCACAGAGCTCGACCAGTGCATTCGGTAGGGTTTGCATAAAAGGCATTCTAAGGTGGAATTACGTCTTGCATCTGGCTCTTACGGCATATAGTTTTATAATTTGCTATGAATAGAAGCAGATGTTAATTTATGCCTGCCCCCAAAGTATAGACTTGCTTAACTATTAGGCAAACAATATTCCATTTTTGGGAGCTTAGTAATGAATGGAGTAATTGTTTTTGAATCTTTTATTGTCTGACAACATTCTCATTGTAAATAATTAAGGAACTTTCAAATTTAATTTATCTTGCAAAATTTGCAGTGACTGGGTTGTTAGAATGATTTTAATTTAAGAGATACGATTTTTATAGACTTCCCTGCTTCTCATTATGACTCCTGCAGTTTTCTTAACCTAAAAAAATAATAATAAAAAAAAAATGTTGCAATGGTGAACAAAGAAATATACAAAAATAATGAAACCCATAATTTTGTACCTTTATTTTGGAATTTCTTGTTCTATTATAAATATTGAAGTATCCCTATTTCAGAAGACATATTTTGTTAATTGATTGTACATATTTAAATATGTATTTTTGCACAGGTCGTTTTTTTTCTTATATCCAATTTTGGTACAATTGAAAATCATCTAGTATTTATTAATTAAAAAAGGAAAAAAAGCAAATACCCTTTTTTTATAATTTGAAGTGGTTCACTGCCAAGCCAATAGCTAACATGCCTACTTTGCATGCCTCGGAGTGGGGAGGAGGACATTCTGTCCCTTGTCTTGAGAGTTGCTACCCACAGATGAAAGTCCTGTGCCCCCCCCCCAGCTTCCCCGATAGTCTTAGCAGCGAGGCGAGGTCACTTCGGGTCAAATGTTGTTGACCTACTCTGGTATATACAGCATAGCTTACAATTGCCTGATTTCCAGAAGACTACGTTTAGTTGTGACACACTGCTCTCTTTTTTTTTCATGTAAGCATTTGTGTGTATGTGTATGTGCACACCTCTGTGCCCACATATGTGCACACAGGTCTGAGTCTTTATATGGTTTAAAAACTAATGGAAAAACTGAAAGTGCCTGATTTATATATCTAGATTTTAAGCTTGGACTGTTCTTTAGACAGCTTCTCCTTTAAAGACTTGAATGTTCTGTTTTAAAAAAAAAAATTGAAAAAAAAAAAGTCGAGCTTGCTTTTCCCACCTCCATGTGACTTTCCACTAATGAGGAAGAGAGGATGCAGAGGAACGAGATAGAATAAAACTCCGGCTGAAACACAGTCCTCGGTTCGTAAACTATGCCCAGGGTTCCGCGCCTGGGTTTCAACAAGCAAATTCAGAGAACCGTAGTTCTGTTGTCATCAGATAGAACTTTTTTTTAAGGATACAGATTGTTGACATTTTGTATTACTGAAAAAAAAAGTTACCTCTCAAAACAATTTTTACGAGCTACCTACACAAGCCACTACCACTGTCCTATACACAATCCTCACCGAAATGAGCAGGAGTTTGGCAGCAGTTCAAATCCCGGTTCATTTCAGTGAAGACTTCCTGGCCCCAGTGAGCTTGTGCTCATTGTGTGATTTTTTTTTCCAACCATTTTCCCGGTAAGTTGTCTTCCGGCAAGAGTTATTATTGCCAAGTATCCTTTTTGTCTCTTTATCTTTTGGGGTTTGGTAATTGTAAAGTGAAGGGGATTGGACTTGAAGATTGTTCTGCTTTCCTTCAGCAGAAAAAAACCTATGTTAAATGCTTTGTGCAAAATACTCTACTTTTTATGAAAGGTGTTTATTATTATTATTTTTTAATGAGCACTACATAATGTCAATGAGAATGTAGGCCATGGAAGCTTCTTGCTTTGGAGTTGAGCCCAGCTCCATAGAGAGGGGGTGGGGGAAAAGCAATCTCCTGTGTAAAATGTGTGAATAGTTTGATAATTTGTATACATATTCAAGAGCATCTGCTCAGAGCTGAACTTTTGTGTTGGCTGCTGTATAGTACATGAACAAATGTCATGGGGTAGAAAAAATTACTTTGGATATTTAAAAGAAGAAAATATATAGTCTATTTGTTTTGTAACAGGTTTCTGTAAATAAAATAATTTATACTATTTATAAAAAAAATGTTGTTCTTTTGCTTCATAACCAGAAAAATAAGCTTGCAGTATAAACAAAATGTGACTTAACCAGGATAATAAAAAAAAAATATTAGGTTGTCTTTATGAGATGCACAATGTTTCTGTTTGAAAGAGTACAGAGAAGAACAACAAAGATGTTCTGGAGGCTAAAACATATAAGGAACGGTTGCTGGAATTGGGTATGTTTACTTTAATGAAGAGAAGGACGAGGGATGACATTATAGCAATATCTTCAGGGGCTGCCACAAAGAAGAGGGAGTCGAGCTATTCTCTAAGGCGCCTGAGGGCAGGACAAGAAGCAACGGATGGAAACTGATCGAGAGAAGCAACCTAGAACTAAGGAGAAACTTCCTGACAGTTAGAACAATTAACCTGTGGAACAACCTGCCTCCAGAAGCGGTGAATGCTCCAACACTGGAAGTCTTTAAGAGACTGGACAGCCATTTGTACAAAATGGTGTAGGGTTTCCTGCCTGAGCAGGGGGTTGGACTAGATGACCTTCAAGGTCCCTTCCAACTTTATTATTATTATTATTACTATTATTATTATTATTAATAATAATAATAATAAACAAAACCTGGACTGAGCTAAGGGATGTGTCATTATTTTTGGTCTGTGAAGAATCCCAGCTGTATTTCTAATCAGGTAGATGTGGGCCTATCTAGAAATTTAGATGCTAAACTTTTGCAAGGTTCTAATGCCTCCTTGACACTTGTAAAGGATTTGTCAATGTTAAGTAAGCAACAGGATAGAGGCTGAGTAGTCTCTTGTCTGCTCTAAACATCAGGACACATCAGTCACCTGTGCTGCATCTAATTGCTATGAAGCTGTTTGGAGAGTAGTAGAACAGGAAAAAAAAACCAACTTCAAATGAATAAATCTATCGTCTCAAATTATAAATTATCATGGAGAACAGGCAGCCTTGCCAAATCATTGGAAATGGACATGGGGAGAACTAACCTATCTTCACTTAACAGGTGTTGAAAATTGAAAATTGTATTCATAATAATAATAATAATAATAATAATAATAATAATAATAATAATAATAATAATAATAATAATAATAATAATAATAATAATAATAATAATAATAATAATGTAATGTTGGAAGGACCTTAGAGGTCTTCTAGTCCAGCACCCCTGCTCAGGCAGGAAACCCTAGATCATTTCAGACAAATGGCTGTCCAGTCTCTTCTTAAAAACTTCCAGTGTTGGAGCATTCACAAATTGCTTTTGTTCAAGACCAGGATAATAAGTGAAACGTCCTTCAGAAAACGGGAATTCGTTGTACCAACTTTTCTCCTGCTTTTTTTCCTGGAGGTCATTTCATAATCCAATGAAAATGCAGTACAAAATATTAAAAGCTCATTATTTTATATAAAAAATTTAATTGACTTAGGAGGACACACTGAGGATGAAATATTGGTTTCTTTCTTCCAATATCTAGCCTTTTCATGTAGTATAGGCACTGTTCCCAAGTACTTTGAAATGAAAATCCAGCAGCCAAATAATGTCCAGGTACCTTCACCATATGTCTCTCCTATAAAAGCATTGCTCTTAAAAATCACTGTGGGAACCTTAGTAAATGCATTTTAGTTGTATGTTCACAACTACCTGGAGATTTTGTCCAATTTAAGGAAAAGCAAAGTATATTAATAGTTAGTTGGTTGGAGGCTATTTCCTTCTAGATGTGTAGTTGATGGCAAAACAAAATAACATTTTTTCCCAATTTTTAAAAAAAACATTTTTAAAATAATTTGATGGATCGATCGTATGATGTGCAAATCTGATCTTTCCTCCATCTTCTGAATGATCAAACTGATCAAATCCAATCCCATCTGCCAATGCCTGTTAAAATTTTCTGGACGAAATTGCAATGAAGAAAATGCATGTTATCAAAAATGTTACCACACTGCGTGGTTAGGACATGTGTCACCGCATGAAGCACTTCACTTAAGCATTTCTAGGTAGCAGAGAATCCACATTCTAGGTAGTGCAAAGAAGCCCACGGAACAGAAGCCAAATCAGTTCATCAGATGCTTGAATGCTGCTACCTGGTGCTAAGTTCTTTTATTGGCCAGGTAGTTTTGTTGGTTGATCCTATCGGAATAGATCAGTACTGAGATCCAAAAGATCTCTGTGCCCTTCTTAGTGATGCATACCTGCAAGATAGCCAATGCATATCCATGCATACTTATACAAATAGGGTATATCTATTTGTAAAGGGCAGTTTGGCCTAATGGTGAGGCACCAGGCTAGAAACCGGGAGACAGAATAATAGTCCCACCTTAAGCATGAAAAACTGGCCGGGTGACCTTGGGCCAGTCACATTCTCTCAACCCAACCCACCTCACAGGACTGTTATGGTGGAGAAAACAGGAGGAGAAAGGAGTATTAGGTACATGTGCGACCTTGGGTTATTTATAAAAGTAATAGAGGTGGGTGTAAAAAAAATACAATAAATATAATTCTCTGACAATAACCCTAGTTCTGTTCTTGGCCTGCTTCCTTGAATGCAAATAAAAGTGATACCAAAAGTCTCTGGCAGCTTCTTAGTTTGAGAAGCAAGACTTGATTACACAATGTTAGAAGTTACTCAAGTCTTAAAACACTTCTCCAAGACTCCTGAGCAATAAGGAAAGGCCTTGCAAACCTGTAATTCCAGTCCCCCCCCCCAAAAAAAGGGGTTGTGGCATCACAAAGAATAGTTGTGTTTTTTCATATGTTCATAAACAATATGGAATTAGGAGTATAATGATGGTTGTATTTAACACAAAAAGAAGCAAAAGAAGATTTATCTTTATTGCAAAAAGGTATTATAATGAAAAATGGGGTTGCAGATCATTAAAAAATGCACATACCTAAGATTACATATGGTATGAAATTGGCTAAGGGGAAAAAAAATCTCATGTTAGATTTTGGGCTTATCCCATAAAGCAAATATTTGAGAACAGATAAAATATCTTTTATCACCTAGCATAAGGTTGACTTGAATAAATGATTGTTGCTATATGAGGCCTGTGAATTTCAGTATCTTTATCTGAAAAATTAATGGAGTATAACACAACAATCTACTAATCCTGCCAATTTGCCAAAGAAGACAAGTGCCCTGCTGGGTCCTGCTTCCATTGTAAGAAAAGTTGCGAAAGATCAGACTCGCATTCTCAAAACACAAAGGCCAAAACAGCTCAGCCTCTGGTTAACAAAAATACTAAGCTTTAAATTAAACTCCATAAACTCGAGAACAAAACAGTCAACCGTACTGTACATTTAATGACAATGATCAGAAAAACATGAATATTCATACAGTTCAGTTGTTTACACAATGAAATAGACTGCAAAAGCCCTAACTACATCATGGTTACATTTTCTTACCTACAGTACAAATTATATAATATAGGGATAATTACTTCCAGAAAAGTTCTGACTGAATGGTGCAATCCTTTTTTTTTACTTTTAAAAATCACATGTTAATTACTCGGGAAAGCTTCTGCACTCTGTTTAACAACAAATCTCCTTTTTTGATGGTTTCTTGGTACTGCCAGTTTTTGCTGTCAGGCCTACAGTAAGAAAACAAGAAGAAAATTTATTGAGAGATTTTTCAAACACCAACTGGCCTTCAAACTGTGATAAGAGAAATCTATGAATAAGACTCCCCTAAAGCATTTTCTTTACAATTATCAGACTTCCCATGCAAGATACACTAAGAAAGGGCAAGGGAATTTGGAACTATATGCTTATTTGAAGTTTGGCCCAGATGAGAAAGTAACTGAAGGTATACCTTAGAACAGAGGTCCCCAACCTTGGCAACTTTTAAGACTTGTGGACTTCAACTCCCAGAATTCCTCAGCCAGCTTGGCTGGCTCAGGAATTCTGGGAGTTGAAGTCCACGAGTCTTAAAGTTGCCACGGTTGGGGACCCCTGCCTTAGAACACAATTTGGCAGGACAGCAACTTCCAATTGGCAAATCTTGTAATGCTACTATTACAATTATTAATAATGACTGTTACTGTCCAAATAATTCCACTTCCTTAAACAATATTCAATAAGAAGCTTGACAGCTATACCTGTTGGTTTCTACGATTTCATTGACTTTGTCTATTTTGCAATGTAGTCTCCCAGCAGCAATAAATCTTGAAAGTTCCCTGTTTGGGGGGCAAAAAAAGAAAAAGATCCTTTTGTACAGTATATTATACTTAGATTGATTATTTCAGGACACCATCTCAACAACCCCACTGCAAAGTCCCTTTATAGCAGCACACAGCTGAAGTGTCTGATAGTTTAGGACAGGGGCAGGCAACCTTGGCTCTTTTATGACTCGTGGACTTCAACTCCCAGAATTCCTGAGCCAGCGTGGCTCAGCTTGGAAACCTCTCCCTTTCCCCTCAGCATGGCTGGCTCAGGAATTCTGGGAGTTGAAGTCCACGAGTCATAAAAGAGCCAAGGTTGCCTACCCCTGGTTTAGGACCCATCTAAAGCCTACCTCTTCCTCCTAGAAAGACTGGGAGGAGAGGAAGCCTGCCATGTTGACCTAGTGCAGCCAATGTTAATACCGTGCAGTCAACAGTCTCTCTTCCTCCTCAAAGACATGTCAGAATATGCTCAAAGCTGCAGCTAGGGCGTAATTAAATGCTGCTCTGCTGATTGTTTATAGCTTTGAAACATAAGACCTGCAATTAGCAAACCACATGGGAATGAAAATTGCTTAGTGGCAGCACAGAGTCCCTGTTCAGTTTTTGCTGCTTAACCTGTGAATGTTCAGTAGTGAGCTACCCTTTTAAAAATAAAGGGCTCCATTGACCACTACTGGTTATGCATAGCACAGTGACAAATGTAACAGCATGTTATAATAAGATTTACCCACAGTGGCTTTTAACCTCGATTTTGTTTTTCATAAGCAAGGAACATACCAACAGGCCCTTTACTGGATAACCATAGGAGGATGCTAACCAATGAAAGCTTGAAAATGTAAAACAGCACTCTGATCTGGGACTAGTAGTTCAAAGGAAGCCAGAACAATTAACTTCAGAGTGGGCTGTATACATTCCTATAGCCTTTGATTAACCAAATAAACCAATCTCCTATGCAACATATTGTAAAAGCTATAATTTGAATAGATGGTCACCTCTGCTTGTATCCTACAAAAGGTACTGTACTGCAAATATTTTAGAGGACATTTCTGATTGTCTAGGTCAGGCATGTCAAACTCGTGACGTTGCGTGACATCACGGAGCTTTTTCGCCATTGCCAGCAATGGAGTGGGCGCGGCTCCGGTATGATGAAACCGGCCCACGGGCCAGCAGTTTGACACCCCTGGTCTAGGTAATCTCAGATCCCATATTCAGGTGGATTAGTCTCACACACATTCCTTTCTCTCCCACAAGTATGTAAGTTTTCTCTAGAGCAGGGGTCTTCAAACGTGGCCCTTTTATGACTTGTGGACTTCAACTCCCAGAATTCCTCAGCCAGCGTGCCTGGCCAAGTTTGAAGAGCCCTGCTCTAGAGCTACTAGATTTATCAAGTAGTGTCTTCTGACTCGTGAGCTACAGCAGACCCCCTCATAGCTTTGGTTAACAGTGAAACAATAGGATCCTATCTGTTTTGTTAATCCCCTGCTATTCTTAGTATGCTGAAGATATCTAGATTATCACCCTTTGCAACCTCCTCTACATGGTAATAGAGTTGGAGACAATTTTCATGACTTTATCTCTTCTCTTTCTGCAACAACTGTGAGTGCTATCAAATCCTTTAAAACCTTTAAATCAATGAAAATCAGCTTATATATCCTACCTAGTTAGCTTAAAAATTCTATGATTCTAATAGCACTTTTTATTCTGGAGAACAATGAAACACTTCCCTTCAACGAACACAAATCACAGATCCATCACCACAGCCGCTATGTCTTTAGGACAGCCCTCTCACACTCAAAAGTCAGTAGAAAACCATTCTTTTTAAAAAACAAAAAACTTGGCGATGATTTCCCATAACCCAAATTGAAACTCATCTTCTTACAAAGAGGTGATTAGCTTCTGCTTCAACTACAGCCTTTACAAAATAGCAGATGAGAGCTATTAGGACTCTTCTTTTTTGCAAAACCACCTTAGCTTTTGACCGCGATAATGATTTTAGATATTTTTAATATCTCCTAGGCCAGTGATGGCGAACCTTTTAGAGACTGAGTGCCCCAAAACTGGGCCCGTCCCCACTCCACCCGTCCCGCCCCCGTCCCACCACCACCCCACCTGCCTACAGGGCCACTCACCACCTCCAGGGCCCGCCGATCACCCAGCAGCACCATGGCAGCCACTCCCTTTGCCCGCGCCCCGCAGCATCAACTGTGCGTGATGGGGCGTGAGGACAGAGTCTTGTCTACGCTGCCTGGCTGCCATGTCCTTAACTGCACTGCTCCCCGTGGGTCATGCTCGGGGGCGACCCTTCTCCAGGAGGGCTGCTGGTGAGGAGGGTGTCACGGGGGGAAGCAAGGCTAGGGCAACGGCACGTGTGCCCACAGAAAGGGCTCCGAGCGCCACCTCTGGCACCTGTGCCATAGGTTCGCCACCACTGTCCTAGGCTATATATTTATTTCATTGTTTTATAGTGTTTAGCTTCTAATCTATTTAAAAAATAGTTATTGCAAGGATGTAAGATTTATGGCCAATTTACCTGATTTTTTTTGCCCCAAATTAAGGAAAGCAAACCGCTTCTATTTCCATTCATAAAGCGTAACTCCCCACTCCCACCTCCATTAGCTTTCTGCAGTCTGAGTTGGTCTATCAAGAGCTGCTCACCACTGAGTGAAACGGAATTTTAAATAATTTGCTGGAGATCTTAAAAATTTCCTCTTCTTAAATCTAACTGGCCACAATGAACTTAGATTAAACATGTAGCTACTAGCTTTCATAAAGATACTTTTCAAAACTGCTGGCCTGTGGGCCGGTTGCATCATGTGGAGGCTGTGCCCTCCCCAGCTCCGGCAGAAAAAGTCACGATATTACGTGATGCGGCGAGCTTGACACCCGTGTCCTAAACAGTTACATTTCTGGATTACCCTATCCATTAGCTAATGCCCAATCCTTACTACTTTTATTTTATTTTTTCATGGTTTGTGTTCCACTGATGACACTATATTTATTAATCGCATGTTGAAACTTCCTATTCCTGGCCTCCATGAAAATGTATGTCACATGAAAGCCACAGAGAAGAAATGTCCTGCCATCAAAAAATGAAACAGGTCTTTCCTCTCTTCTATAACTTGTTAATGAAGTTACATTTCAATCAGGTTTCTTTTGTAAATGATTCAACATTCTGACATCAGGCACTGACTGGCTCTACCAATAAAAAGAAGCACATGGTTCCACCATGGACAGAATCCAACCACTGAAAGTAACCTCGGCATCTTCATTATGAACCTCTTCAACTAAATTACATTAATCCGTAACTATTTAGAACTTTAGTAAACAAAAACCAGGCACTTATTACCATCTTTGGTGGGCATGCTCTAAAGCCAAAAGATCCTGGTTAAGAATACATACATGGTTAGAGAAAATGATTAAAAAAACATATCGATTTTAAGCCAGAATTATTTTTGTTAGGCATAATTGTAGGAAATTATGAGAAAGAGTGTATATATTTAATTTTACATATATTAACTGCGGCAAGAATTGTATTCGCTCAACATTGGAAAAATGAAGATTTACCAACAAATGAAGAGTTAATTAAAAAAAATCTTAAGAGTGTGCAGAAATGGATAGATTGACATTGAAAATGAAAGAGAAAAAAGATTCAGTTTATTTTAGAACATGGGATACTTTTTATCATTGGCTAGAAAAACGAGGTAGAGAGGAACTTAATATGTATTAAGTTAAATGTTGGAACCCAGACAATATGTTGCTGATAAAATATTAAGCACGTGTGATTATAAAAAATAAATATATAAATTGATTGCCATCTTCCATTTCAACCTGGACATATCACAAAAATGCAGAGGTGAATATTTTTAAATGATACTTACTGATCTATGAACTCTACACAGACTCCAAAAGCATCTGCCATGTAACCAAGTGTGAGTGACCGGTAAGATTCCAGAAGCTGACTGTAGGCGTGGATTCTCATTTCCCGAACATAGTAACGATAATGCGGTGCAAACAGCCAATCTTTCTTCATCTCTTGTTCTACACTGGCTGAAAGACACAGAAAGACAACGTGCAAAGGTGGAAATGCCTTACAGAAGTAGTTGCATGCAAATATGATTTAATGTAACACCCACCCACCCCCAAGGATTATTTCTCCTTGGCTCTTTTATGACTTGTGGACTTCAAGTCCCAGAATTTCTGAGCCAGTCCACGAGTCATAAAAGAGCCAAGGTTGCCTACCCCTGTCCTAGGAAAAATGCATCCTTCTCTGTACTCTCAGACTGAAGGTTAGTAATACAACACCTGCAACTTCACCAGTGCCTGCTGACCTTTAAACTTTTAGAAAATAATATTAAGTGATTAAAAAAAAATCCTAAAGTGATTTCTCTATTATTGCATGAGATCTGGGACACTTGGTAGATGTTTGAATGTTCTAGATAAAACCATGCCAACTTCCTGAAAAGACTGCTGTCCTCTGCTCTTTCAAAAGTTTCAAAAGGATACAGCTACAGTGGATATATAAAAAAGCTACACTCCTCTGTTAAAATGCCAGGTTTTTGAGATGTAAAAAAAATCAGACCAAGATAAATCGATTTTTCCCACTTTAATATAACATATAAGATTGTACCATTCAATTGAAAAAAAAACTGAAATGTGTTTTTTTTGGGGGGGGGAGAGAATAAATAAGATTTGCAATAATGTGATTGCATATGTGTGCACACCCTCTTATAAGTAGGGATGTGGCTGTCCTTAACCAATCATGTCCAAACTGACGATGCCATCCATTAAAGTGATTCTGATCAAGCCCATATAAAGTTTAGCTGGCCTACTACGATTTTTCTAAAAAGAGCTTACAAATGGATCCCACTGTTGGAAGGTATCATCAGTCAGGAGAAGGGTTGAAAATTTTTTTCCAAGGCACTGGATATAACATGGAACACAGTGAAGATAGTCAGCATTAAGTGGGGAAAATATAGCACAATTGACATTACCAAAAAAGTGGATATCCCCCCCAAAAAAAATCAATGAAAAAAAAGAAAACTGATCTGAGAGGCTGTCAATAAGCTTTGAGCAACATTAAAGGAGCTGGGAAGTGCTGGTAGTGTACTAAATGTGTCAACAATCTCCCGTATTCTTCATTGCTGGCTGAGGAATTCTGGGAGTTGAAGTCCACAAGTCATAAAAGGGCCAAGTTTGAAGACCCCCCTGCAATAGATTTAAGTGTTCACGCCCCTTTAGGAATTCACAGAAAAGCAGAAAGCTAAACTATTTCTTACCCAGCGACTGGAAGAAAACCGAATACCGACATTCGTAGAGTGAAAAAAGATACTGCCGCACTTTGGGTAAACTGTGCAATACTTCCAGAATCTCAGCTCCTTTGATAACCTAAAGCAGGTCAAAGGAGAAAAAAAAAAAAAAAGGAGCAGAAATCAGAGCAGAGCTNTTAAGAATACATACATGGTTAGAGAAAATGATTAAAAAAACATATCGATTTTAAGCCAGAATTATTTTTGTTAGGCATAATTGTAGGAAATTATGAGAAAGAGTGTATATATTTAATTTTACATATATTAACTGCGGCAAGAATTGTATTCGCTCAACATTGGAAAAATGAAGATTTACCAACAAATGAAGAGTTAATTTTAAAAAATCTTGTGCAGTGTGTAGAAATGGATAGATTGACATTGAAAATGAAAGAGAAAAAAGATTCAGTTTATTTTAGAACATGGGATACTTTTTATCATTGGCTAGAAAAATGAGGTAGAGAGGAACTTAATATGTATTAAGTTAAATGTTGGAACCCAGACAATATGTTGCTGATAAAATATTAAGCACGTGTGATTATAAAAAATAAATATATAAATTGATTGCCATCTTCCATTTCAACCTGGACATATCACAAAAATGCAGAGGTGAATATTTTTAAATGATACTTACTGATCTATGAACTCTACACAGACTCCAAAAGCATCTGCCATGTAACCAAGTGTGAGTGACCGGTAAGATTCTAGAAGCTGACTGTAGGCGTGGATTCTCATTTCCCGAACATAGTAACGATAATGTGGTGCAAACAGCCAATCTTTCTTCATCTCTTGTTCTACACTGGCTGAAAGACACAGAAAGACAGCGTGCAAAGGTGGAAATGCCTTACAGAAGTAGTTGCATGCAAATATGATTTAATGTAACCCCTCAAGGATTATTTCTCCTAGGACAGGGGTAGGCAACCTTGGCTCTTTTATGACTCGTGGACTTCAACTCCCAGAATTCCTGAGCCAGCCAGGAATAACGTGATTGCATATGTGTGCACACCCTCTTATAAGTAGGGATGTGGCTGTCCTCAGAATTAACCAATCACGTCCAAACTGACGATGCCATCCATTAAAGTGATTCTGATCAAGCCCATATAAAGTTTAGCTGGCCTACTACGATTTTTCTAAAAAGAGCTTACAAATGGATCCCACTGTTGGAAGGTATCATCAGTCAGGAGAAGGGTTGAAAAATTTTTCCAAGGCACTGGATATACGGTAACATGGAACACAGTGAAGATAGCATTAAGTGGGGAAAATATAGCACAATTGACATTACCAAAAAAGTGGATATCCCCCCCCCAAACCGATGAAAAAAAGGAAAACTGATCTGAGAGGCTGTCAATAAGCTTTGAGCAACATTAAAGGAGCTGGGAAGTGCTGGTAGTGTACTAAATGTGCCAACAATCTCCCGTATTCTTCATTGCTGGCTGAGGAATTCTGGGAGTTGAAGTCCACGAGTCATAAAAGGGCCAAGTCTGAAGACCCCCTGCCATAGATTTAAGTGTTCACGCCCCTTTGGGAATTCACAGGAAAGCAGAAAGCTAAACTATTTCTTACCCAGCGACTGGAAGAAAACCGAATACCGACATTCGTAGAGTGAAAAAAGATACTGCCGCACTTTGGGTAAACTGTGCAACACTTCCAGAATCTCAGCTCCTTTGATAACCTAAAGCAGGTCAAAGGAGAAAAAAAAAAAAAAAAGGAGCAGAAATCAGAGCAGAGCCATAAGGGAACACAAGCTTCGCGGCTTCTCTATGCTACTAACACAGTGGTTCTCAACCTTTTTAATGCCGCCGTAAGTCGAGGACTAAACCGGTCATAAGTCGAGGACTAAACCGGTTGTAAGTCGAGGACTACCCAACTGGTCGTAAGTCGAGGACTTTCCCTGTCCGTGAGCACCGCGCATGCGTTCTGCCCCCTGCGCCGGCCGAGGCGTAGCTGGCAAGCAGCAGAGACCGAGCAGGCCGACCACCAGCTGGCCCAGCTCAAGGGAGGTAAGGCACCCGCCGGAAAAGGGGAAAAAAAATGGCGGACAGCCTTGCTTGGCGACCGTGAAATGGTCGATCGACCCCAAATGGGGTCGCGACCCATAGGTTGAGAACCGCTGTTTAACTAACAGTTTGCCCTACCTTCTCTCTTAGGTCCGGCCTTTCTAATGCAATCATGCTGACGTAAACTGTGTATGTGACAAAGGTTTTGTAATCCATAAGTTCGTAAGATGTAAATGTTGAGACGGTATCCAGGAAGAGTTCGGCTGCCTGCTTGAAGTCCCGAATGGCCACACAGTAAAGGCCTTGGTAGACTTTGAGCCGATTCCGCCGATCCCAGTCTCCTCCTTCTTCTATAAGACTTTCAAAGAAAACAGAAACACCCCCTTTAAATCTGCAGCCCACATTACATCTGAAATACTGAGTAAATAAATACAGGTAGTCCTCGACTTACAACAGTTCATTTAGTGACCATTCAAAGTTACAACGGCACTGGGGAAAAAAAATGACATGACTTTTTTTCACACATAGGACCGTTGCAGCGTGCCCATCAGGTGATCCAAAATTCAGAGGCTCGGCAACCAACTCATATTTACAACGGTTGAACTGTCTTGGGGGGGGCATGTGATCCCCTTTTGCGACCTTCTAACAAACCAAAGTCGGGGGGGCAGATTCACTTGACCAACCGTGTTACTAACTTAACAGCTGCGGTGATTGGCTTGACATCTCTGGCAAGAAAGGTCGTAAAAATGGGGCAAAACTCAGCTAACCCATGTCTCACTTAGCAAAAGAAAATTGGCGCTCAATTGTGGTCGTAAAGACAGAAAACACAATTCTGCTGCAGGAAACATGACACGTCTATAATCTGTGCATTCTGACACGTAACTCTTTTGCTTCTACTCAAGAGTGAAGGTTATGGTTATTCGCTCAGTAACAAGCTCCCAGTTCAGGGGTGGGCAACCTTGGCTCTTTTATGACGTGTGGACTTCAACTCCCAGAATTCCTGAGCTGGAAACCTCTCCCTTTCCCCTCAGCATGGCTGGCTCAGGAATTCTGGGAGTTGAAGTCCACGAGTCATAAAAGAGCCAAGGTTTCCCCACCCCTGTCCCAGTTGAAGCACTTTCTTCTCACAGGCTGCTGTGAGAAGAAAGTGCTTTTAAGGAAGGGGTTTTTAAGGAAGCTTTTAAGGAAGGGGAATAAAGCAACCTATTTCTGCTACGCCTGCCAACCAAAGGATGACCTGTCAGCTATAATGGCACACCACACAAGCAATCGGAGTTAAAAGTAGTTTTTCAAAGCTGTTTCCAGAATACAAGTAATCCTCAATTTACAACCAGTCGCTTAGCAACCGAAATTACAATAGACCTCCCTAAAAAAGGGACTTATAACCCGGATTCAAAGTTCTGGAGTTTGCCCCTATCCTACCCCCAGTAAGACAATCACATTTTGGGCACTCAGCAGCTAGTGTGCATTTATGCCCCTTTGCAGTGTCCAATGGTCATGTGACCCCGATTTACTTTTCCCCCCCCAGAAACCGCTGTTTACTTCTGGTTTCCAGCAAAAAAAAAAAAAGATCTATAGTGAACAATGGGTTCGCTTAATGCTTGCTGAGTTCACTTAACAACTGTTGCAAAAAAAAAAAGGCATAAAATTGGACGAGATCGTGTGATCATCACAAATTACGACCAAAACTTTAGGCTCAGTTATGATCGTAAGTCAAGGATTTACCTGTAGGAAAAAATGGGGTAGAGGCATTATTAATGAAAAAATTAACAACCGTCCAAAGAGTACACCACTTTATGAATATTTTAAAATAACCTAATTACGTATGAGCAGGTTGTACATGTCTGCTACTCGTTATGTTTAATTAAAAATGAACAAACCCTAATAAACCCACAAAATAACATTCTTCAGATACAAGACGCATTTCAGTTTTTAAAAGTAAAGCTGCCCTTCCTAATCATCCTATACTAGATTTCATTCCCCCCCCCCAAAAAATCTTAATTTTTAAATGATAAATTGCATTTTTCAGCATTTCTGACGTTTTTTTTCACTGATTTGGCATTTCTGAAGGTCAGCCTTTGTGTGACATAAAGGCTCATTCGCTTGCAATCAGACGACCTTACAATTATGTTGAGATGCCCTAGATAAGAGCTTCTCCAGATTCTCTCATTCTAAGAGAAACGATACCTTTTGGCCTTTTCAGTGTTCCGTGTAATAAGGTCATTGTCCATATAAAACAAGCCGATTCGCAACAAGTAGAAGACAATGTCCAGACGATGTCCTAGAGCAACAGTTTTGTCATATGTCTTCCGAAAGGCAGTTAGAGCAGCTTCCTAAAGAAAACACGGTAAGGACAGACAAGAAAAATGGGCATAACTACATACAGCAATAGCACTTAGACTTACATACCGCTTCACAGAGCTTTTACAGCCCTCTCTAAGCGGTTTACAGAGTCAGCCTATTGTCTCCCAACAATCTGGGTCCTCGTTTTACCGACCTTGGAAAGATGGAAGGCTGAGTCAACCTTGAGCCAGTGAGAATCAAACTGCTGGCAGTTGGCAGTATTAGCCTGCAATACTGCATTCTAACCATTGTGCCACCAGGGCTCAAATGCAACTTGTCCTAGGGGCACCAAACATGTTTTATACCAGGGGTGTCAAACTCGCAATGTCACGTGACATGTGACGTATCGTGACTTTTTTTCCATTGCTGGCAATGGGTTGAGCAGGGTTTCGCCATGATGCATCCGGCCCGCGGGCTGGCAGTTTGACACCCCTGTCTTATACTGTCATAGAGGTATCGCTCACTGCTTGAATTGTAATTGATCAACACTATCCCCTCAAATTAAAAAGAACAATTTTCCCAATTCAATCTTTATGCTTATGTTTTGAATAAAAGGTCAAATTTCCAGTCGTTCATGTTACTAGAATTATCCCCTACCCATTTCAGAAAACCCAAAAGGAAGGTACAGAGCTACACAACAAAAATTACTACCTGTGCCCTTAACTGTAAAGCAGGCAAAAGTTTCCTTCTCTAGAGTGTACAGTAAGAAAACACTAGGCGAGCAGAGTGGACTTGAAAGACAAGAAGGTTCAGTAGCTAGAACAAGAAAACAAGTGGGTTTTTGAGCCCAGTTGAAAGTCATATACCAGCTTAGGAAGCCAACTAGACTGTGACCTGGGAACTGCAGCAGGTGTTTCTGCAACATCTCACAATCACAGAGTAGGATGGATTACTTAGGTTAAAGACCGCAATCCCTTCCTCAGTGCAGGAATCCAATTTAAAGCATCCCAGGCATATCGTTCAAATTTTGTTCACTTCCCATTGAAATAGCATTAACGGTCTCTCTTTCTTCACCCACAGGAATGAGGTTAAAAGAAAAAAAAATCCATACATAACTATCATCAAGCTTTACTTATTACTACATTTTCACTTTATTTAATACCAGAAGGTGTCCAAATTCCTCCAAACCTGACATTTAAAGTAACAATCTAGTTAAAAGGAAGACAAAATATATGTATTTTGGGTCTAGTTAGCTAAATTACGAGTATCAGGTTACCAGCCAATTCCCTCCACATAGTATAACAAGTATTTCCTCTGAAACAAAACTCTTAAGCAAAGAGGTAGGGAATCTATAGCCTTTCAGAATAACTCAGCAATCCAATGAGAATCTGTGAGAAGATACTATCTGACACATAGCATTTTCACTGAACTTCCTAATATAACCCAAAGTCATTTTATTGTATTTTATAACATACTGTTATCGCTTCCATATATAATAGCAGCTTCTGAAACCATTATAAACAAGTTGTTTGGTATTAGATATAGTGAGTGGGATTCCCAGAAACTACTAAGCAATAGTACTAAATTGTAATTTTTTTTAATGTGGCTGAAGAAAATCATGAAATATAGGATTAGAGACTAATCCTACTAACTTTAACTAAATGTAAAACAAATCAAGTGTAGGTTTTGTTCTATTCGTTTTTTGGACTGTGGCCCCAGCATAACATTCAAAAGCCAGGCACGGCCCTCAGTTTCAAGGCAGTTAATGCTTATTTCCAATATGGATATCACTAAAGGAAAACCCGGGTTTCAATCATTAGGCAATTTGTGAAATCTGAACACTTCAACTTACCTTGTCGCCAATTCGGCAGAGATACTCAGCTTTGGCCATCATGGCATCACGGATTTCGCTTTCTCCCAGGTTCTTCTCTGCATCCTCCAATTCATCCTCCAGGCGTTTCAGCTCTTCCTCATTGGCTTTCTTCATCTTATTCAACAAATCTGTCTCTACCGGCCAGTCAAGGGATTTGCAGAGGCTTTCATAATATGGGGCCATATCTGAGAAGAGAATCACCAGAAAAGATACGATAAAAAAAAATCATATCCTCAAGGAGAACGAGAGTAACAAAAACAAACAAAAAGGAAATGAAGTAAGCATTGTATCCAGCTGCATACGGTTGCCAGAAAGGGCCAGTGGAAAGCCCTGATTAGCCTGAGATGCTTCAAATCTGTGTGATTGTGACTAGAGACTCCGTAAGCTTGCTTTTTCCAAGGGATAAAAAGTACTCCCTGGAGGTACATCTAACAACTTGAAGTTTTTCTATTACCTCTTATTGCATGTGTAAAGCAGGGAGACACCCTCACAAAATTAAAAAAAGATTTCTTTTGTGTCACCATGCATGTCATCAAGAGGACAATTCATGAAGAAAGTGAACTAAATAATAAGAGCAAAGGAATATACACACAATAGTTTCCTCAAGATGACGGTGTGGAAGAGCACATGATAAATGCCAAGGAAAAGAAAGCAATGAACTCAAAAACAGAGGAGATAATTATATGAACTATTTGCTGCAATACATAAATCTGAGCAATAGGCATTCAACAGCTGCAGAGTGAGGAAATTAATGTAATAAATCATGCTGATATTTATTGCCAAAAGGTAGTCAGAAGGGAAACTGGTATATAAGTATTCATGCATCTTCTTATGAAGAAAAACAATGAGGTAAGGAATAAAATTGGATCTAAAAACCAAAGACAAAAGTCAAAACGCTAGCAATGTGTTGAAAATAAAATAATGCACTTAAAAAAATAAATGCAAAACCATGCCTGTAAGGGGGGGAAAAGTGCTCAAGAACAGAATGAGAGCTCTACATGCCCTGGTCATAGCATCTGCACAAACGTTCCGGGAATTACCTATCTGAATACAAGCTGAATAACCATCAGCAGTGTGACATGGCTACTAAGACGATGATTGCCCTTAAGTATCTATAGCAGAAGTATATTTTCCCTATCCTGGAAAGCAGCCATTTTACTTTGCCCTGTTCAGACCCCATCTCCAGTATCATATACATAAATACTGGTATATAGTATACATATATATTATGCATATATACACACATATGTATATGTATGGACATGTACAGGTGTGCATACACATATATATGCACACACATGTACATGTGCATAGATATACTGTACATGTGTATACATACACACATATGTAATGTATATATACATATATATACATATATATATACACACATACACATATATGTATGCACATGTACGTGTGTGTATATATACACACCTACATGTGCATACATATACATGTAGATGTGTGTGTGTATATATATATGTGTGTGTGTGTGTATGTGTATATGTATGTATATATGTGTGTGTGCCTATGTGTGTTTGTGTGTGTGTGTGTGTGTGTGTATCTTCTTTTGAGAGCGGGCATCAGAATTTCATTTTTTAATGTGTGCCAGTGTGTTCACAGAAATAAATGACAATGACGGTTGTCTTATCTTACATCCAGTTCTTGGCATTGCATTTGCAGAAGGACTCAGAGAAGCCAAGTGCAGGAAAGGCAGTAAGGATGTTGAGGGGACTGGAAACCGAGGTCTTAACAGAAAAGACTGAGGCAACATTAAGAAAAGCCAAGGGGGGAGATAGGTGGTTACATTTTTTTTCCAAGCACCCAAAGCCATGTTACACAGAATAAGGACGCAGTTTGTTCCTTATGATCCCAGAGAGACCAAAACTAGCAGGTACAATTCTGAGACACAGAATGGCAGGTTTGGCAGCAGAGAAGGGCGGTCCATTTCCACTCGTGGGATAGATGGGTTCAAGCAGAGAGACTAGATAGAAGATAGTTCCCGGGGAGCGACGTTTCCACGTAGCACAACTTCCCATACCTCTGAGCATGTACAGAAATCTCCCCACTCCCCCTTACTCAGCAAGGGATTAAGCCAGAGGCTTTCCAAACTGCGAAAGGTGTGCCACAAATCCATCCTTTTGATCTTTAAGAAACTTTTAAGCTTCTCTTTGAGGTTTACTTAAAGAGGGGTTTCCCCCTTGTTCATTCTGGCCTTTGGATCGCCAAAGGTTGCCCTAAATCAGGGGTAGGCAAGCTTGGCTCTTTTATGACTCGTGGACTTCAACTCCCAGAATTCCTGAGCCAGCCATGCTGGCTCAGGAATTCTGGGAGTTGAAGTCCACGAGTCATAAAAGAGCCAAGGTTGCCTACCCCTGCCCTAAATGGACGCGAGCGGGCAAAACCTCCAGGAAGCCAAACGCCGGTCTCCCCCGTTTTCTTACCGTGCTGACGGATGGCGGCCATGAGCTCCTGGCGCACGGCGGGGTCCGGGCTTTGCGGCTGCAGGCTCAGCAGGAAGCGGAGCTGGGCGATCCGGAGGTCGGGGTTCTTAGGGAGGCCCTCCTCTTCCAGGTTTTCCAGCGGCATCCCGGCGAGGAAGGAAGGCGAGCGCGAGAGAGAGAAAGGCCGGTCGCTGACAGGCACGGAAGAGAAGCCAAATAGCCAGCGAGCAGCGAAGAAGAGACTACAGAGTGACTCAGCCCGCCACCCGGAAACGGAAGGAACGGTCCCGGAGGCCGCTTCCGACATCCGCCTGGGCGCGACCAAGAGTTACAGTCGCCGCGGCGTTATCCGCCTCTTCCGGTTGTCCAGCCTCGCGTGCCCCATGTGCGTGGTTTGCGACGGCTGGAAGGGAGGGAAAAAGGGTTAAAAGGGATGCGGCCCTCGTAAGGCACGAGCAGACACGATATACGAGAGAATGCGTGGCTTCGAGCACAAAGGGTTTAGTTTCCAAATGGCTTTAAAGCGTCTCCCGCAAAATGTTACTTGTATCTGGGGGGCTAATTGCAAAGCACGAAGGGGGAAAAGAACTGCTCGTCGTCCTTTTCTCCCTTTTTGCTCCATCCAATTTAATATCTACCCTGGTGGTTCCCTGGATGTAGGAGGAGAAGGAAATGATCGCTCCAACACTGGAAGTTTTTAAGAAGAGACTGGACAGCCATTTGTCCGAAATGGTATAGGGTTTCCTGCCTGAGCAGGGGGTTGGACTAGATGACCTTCAAGGTCCCTTCCAACTTTACTATTATTATTATTATTATTATTATTATTATTATTATTATTATTATTATTATTATTATTATTATTATTATTATTATTAT